TTATTTTGGGATCGAGAAAATCAGCTTTTTTGGGAATTATATTGACCCCTGGCGCTTGGTCGTAAATTACGATTTTAGCTATTGTTTCCAATAAAAGTTAACCCATTTAACTTAGAATTAATCAACAACTAAGCTTAGAACATTCCCGTGAATCTCCCGAGTTCCCCAATCAAAATTAGAGACAAATCGGGCAAAGGGTTCATGAGCTATGATCGGACAAACAAACAGACAAACAGAGATTACAACTTTATATTTATAGATGCCAATAAAGATACTAACCTTGTTTGGATCTAGTTTAGAGAACAGGGTTGTCTCAAAATGTTTCCATATTTCTAACAATGAGGTCAAATCATGAGATGATACTGATTGATTGATGGATTCTAAAACCCTGGAAAGAAAATTCATCAACAGATGGAATAGAAATTAGACAAACAGTAAAAAAGTTGTTGCAACAAATTAGATAACACGAGATATGACATAAAATGAACTAAAAATGATAGGTCAGAAAAATTTGAATTAAAAAAATTTAAGAAAAAATGTTAAAAAAGATTTTTTCCTCATGTAAGCCCAGGAAATTTTTTTATCATTGATAAACTTTTTTCTCCGATTTGAAAGGTGTGATTGTTTTAGAGGTTTTTATTCGTTGAATTGGGGAACATAACAGGGGTATATATTGGGGAATATAACAGGGGTATACATTTTTCAGAATTTTTTATGATTTGGGGAAAAAATCAAAAATTGGTCATTTCAAGGCACTTATTCAATCTTTTAAAATCTTGCTCAATAATTCATTCACTTGCGCAAGTTCAGCGAAATGAAAACCTAAATATGCGTTTTTTTGTAAAAAAAAGAATTTCAAAATGGGGGGGGGAAGAATGATTTTTAGAGAAAATATACACCCCTTGAAAACAATAGACCTTCAGGGAATTTTTGAACATATCTTATACCCAAGCCTGACATTTCTATATCTGTATTCTTTAAAGCAAAATGTGTAAAAAAAGATATTAGAGAAATTCTTATTAATTATCACTTATCAGCAACAAATGCTTAATACCTGTCAACCCGAAATCCTTTTTCCTTCTCATATTTTAGATCGGAATCAAACCATTTCAATGTCGTTACAAATCCACGAAATACCAAGTACTCCTAAAATATTGCGGAATTTTTTTTTACATTTAAATATAAATATAAAGCAACTTTTCTTAAACATAAAATGTGCCAGCAGAGGCGACTTAGGTAATAACAATAGCAATAACAATTACAGTGACAACATAAATAAGAATAACAATAACACCAATAACCATAAATATAACAACAATAAAAATAACAACAATAAAATAACAAATACAACGATAACAATTACAACAAAAAAATAACAATAACCACAATAACAATAACAAGAACAAGAACAAGAACAAGAACAAGAACAAGAACAAGAACAAGAACAAGAACAAGAACAAGAACAAGAAATCACAATAACAATAACTGTGACAATAACACTGACAAAAACAATAACAACAAGAACAAGAACAAGAACAAGAACAAGAACAAGAACAAGAACAAGAACAAGAACAAGAACAAGAACAAGAACAAGAACAAGAACAAGAACAAGAACAATAAATATAAGTATAAAAATAAAAATCACAATAACAATAACTGTGACAATAACACTGACAAAAACAATAACAACAACAACAAAAACAATAACAATAACCACAAAAACAATAACACAAAAACAATAACAATAACCACAAAGACAATAACAATAACAATAACAATAAAAATATCAATAAAAATAACATTCACAATAACAATACCAGTAACAATAACAAAAAAATCACAATAACAATATAACAAATACCTTAACTAATTCGTCTAAAAACTGATAACCTGACATTCTTCTGAAAATATTCATACATTTCCAACCAGATTAAATACTAATTTCACAGCCTTAGATTTATAAAAACATATCATGGCTTTATAAAAACATATCATGGGTTTATAAAAACATATCGTGGGTTTATTGATACAATGATAACAAATCAATATTCTCTATTGGAGAATTTTTTTCTAGTTTAATCATCTTGTTTCTTCCCATATTATCTTGAAGACGAATACGTTTTCTTGAGTTTAATGTCGTCTTGATTATTTCTTCCGATCTTCTTAACATAATCTTATTTCTTGTCACCTCCTGAGTGCATAATATCAGAATATGTATATTTAACGGTACCCTTAAAAGCTTTGTCTGAAAGTATGAATGTGATATTAATGTTTACAATTTTGATAACAGATATTTACAAATCAACTACTTGAAAAAATATAATTATTATTAGAATTAAACACTTATAATCTTAGAAAAATGACAATATCTTCAACAATTAAATTACAATAACATTCATATTTCCGTGTTTATGCTGAAATCAAAAAAATATTTCTAAAAACGAAATTTTTAAAGTAAAAATCAAATAAGTTCGTATTCTAATGTTTCCTGAGAGTCAGTATTTAAAATCTGTGTGTTGGGTTTAAGTGGTTTTGAGTAGAATGTTGAATTATGAAGAATATGTTTCTGTTTACGTCTACACATAGTTAAAGCTGTCCAGCGCTCCAACAGCTTTATCAAGATGGAACTCATCCTAACCTTTAAACTCAACCCTATATAAGTCAATTTAAAAGAATAGAAACCGCTTTGGTCAATTCAGGCCATTAATCTGGTTGACTTCGCCATTTAAGTTTACAAATTAATTTACCATAGTTAAAAAATGTCACTCAAAACTTCGCTGTTTCTTAATTTCAAATGAATGCTGAACATTAACAAAATATAGTATTATATATAGTCCCCTAGTATATAATCCCCTTTGAGGTAAGTACAGTCCCCCCTGAAGGAAGTGCGGTCCCCTCTGAAGATAGTGTGGTCCCCCCTGAAGGAAGTGCGGTCTCCCCAAAAGGAACTGCGGACCCCTCTGAAGATAGTGTGGTCCCCCCTTAAGAAAGTGCGGCCCCCCCTGAAAGAAGTGCGGTCCCCCCTGAAGGAAGTATGGTGTCCTCTGAAGGAAGTGCGATCCCCCTGACAGAAGTGCTTTCCACTCTGAAGGAAGCTGGACAACCCTTGCGGGATGTGTCAAAGTCCCCATGTCAGGAAATCGGGCCCCCATGGAAGAATGTGAGGAAACCCCAGAAGGAAGCTAGACCTCCTCTACTAGAAGATAGGAAAGCCACGATGAAAAGGGCTAATCTTCATGTAATGTATTCCTGGGGTTCCTAGCTTTCGTTTGATATGCATAAAGCCATAGTTAAAACATTTTCATTTTTGGAGGTCATTTAGGTCATTAAGGGTCGTAAGAGGTCATTAGAAGGTCAAACACTGCATTTGTTGCTGCTACTGTATTCCTTGGGTTCCTAGCTTTCGTTTGATGTGCATAAAGCCAAAGTTGAAATATTTTCTATTTNAAGAAAGAAAGAAAGAAAGAAAGAAAGAAAGAAAGAAAGAAAGAAAGAAAGAAAGAAAGAAAGAAAGAAAGAAAGAAAGAAAGAAAGAAAGAAAGAAAGAAAGAAAGAAAGAAAGAAAGAAAGAAAGAAAGAAAGAAAGAAAGAAAGAAAGAAAGAAAGAAAGAAAGAAAGAAAGAAAGAAAGAAAGAAAGAAAGAAAAAAAGAAAGAAAGAAAGAAAGAAAGAAAGAAAGAAAGAAAGAAAGAAGAAGAAAATGTTAAAATTTAATAAAGTTTAATTCCTGTTCCAACTGTGGTCTTGAAACCTTGCTGAACCCAGGAATGTCATCTATGCAGGTTTCACTGAAAATAAAACTTACTATTAAAACAAATCAGAAGAAAATCTGAAAAGACTACCAAAATGGAATCCTCAGATTGCCCTCAGAAGAGAGGATCTATTTCCCCCTTCCATTCCACACAGCCTCTAGCCAGCAGACAGCACACTAAGAAATAAGAAACAATTAGTAGATCTGAGAGGGAATCCGACATGGAACCCCCAGACCGCCCTCAGGGTGCATCCCCTTGCCAGCAGACTGCACCCTACACAATCTACAGGGCCAAGTAAGGACCACCGGTGGATGGCCGATCAACTAACCTGTAAACAAATAAACAAATAAACAAATAAACAAATAAACAAAACTACAAATAAACAAATATACAAATAAACAAATAAACAAATAAATCTGCAAAGTCCAACTAAAGTGCGTTCTCAAATCACTAGTCAAATATGACTAATTTAGAATTTTTGGCGAACCAGATTTATTTTCTTCAGAATAACTATTTTTAAGGCCCAAACTCAATTGTTGTATTATTATTTAGTTACATGAGCATTGAACACATATAAAAGAAGATGAATAGATTTTAATTAACTATTTAATATTTAATATCTTAATTGAAGGACAGAATGACGATAATTATTTAAGCTTCAATGTTTAGATACTACTGTACCTACACCTGTACCTGTCAACTATGAGAGTTTGTAACTGTGTAACGTGTTTCAATGTCTTGAAGAACTTCAATGACAGATGTAACCCTAGTTCACAGAAAACTCTTTAAAAAATCGATAAGTCTAAGTTATTATATTCCATACATTTTTTAAACAAAATTTTAAAGATTAAACATATTTGAGTTTTTTTCCCCTGAAATATCAAGATAGTGAAGATTTGCCAGTTTTTTCCCCGCAAATGCTGGATAGGTAATCTTCTTCATACCTAGAATAAAGTTGGTATTTGTTATGCTTGAAAAGGATTTCTAATTTTCTTTAAATGTCTTGACCCCCTATTAAGGTTGGGAACTTGGGAAGATGAAGTGGGTAGATAGTAGTTGATTAGGGTCAATGGGAGGGCAATCTTGAAATTTATATTTGTTTAGGTTTTGCTTTGTTTCTTTGTCAGAACAGGTGACCCGAATAAGCATAATTTGTTTGCGGTAAATTATGTTATGGACTCAGCCCCCCCCTCCATCTCACTTCTATATTTATTATTAACTTACCCCTGTCAGATATATTAGATTGGTCCAGAATTAGAACTTGTAAAAACTCAAGTTCAGGGATCCAGGATAAAATCTCATGTTCATCGTCTTAAACCAACATTTATAAAAAACCCAAAGTAATTCTAAATATGGTATCTGTGATCATAAAAACAAAATTACAGAAATAAAATAAAAACAATAAAAATTAATTTATAAATGTTTTCCTAATTGTAGATGACTAAGATCAAGTTTGTGTACAGTTTGCAGTACACCTTGTATATTCATCTCAAACTCGTTAAGAACCATTATATTGGATAAGGACAGAGCTCTAAATTCGTCTGTTGACTCACCGTACATTCTAGAAAAAATGTTCATTATACCGGTCGCCGAATTTAAAGAATTTGAGCGGCGGTTTAAATTTAAGCCGCGGTTTAAATATGGTTGGTTTCCTCTTAAAATTGCATCAAATGTTTCCAGATTTAAACCGGCGCTTAATTTAAACCGGGTTTTGGCGGATTTAAACCGCGGCTCAAATTCTTTAAATTTCATCTCAGGTTATGCAATTACTTTAACTTTTCCAATTCCATGCCCCCCTCTCACCTCACATCCTCGTCAAAAATATATTTTCGCCATTTCATCAAGGAAAATTATAGGTTAAATAAAAGTTTTTCTTAAAAAAATCAAGAGAGGAATTTTTTTGTTTGTAATTAAAACCTTACTTGTATCTGAATCTAAAAAAACCCTGTCTTTTCCAAGTATCCTAGATAATATACCTTAGTGCATCCCTGTATCAAGGATACTATACCTTGGTATATCCTTGTATCAAGGATACTATACCTTGGTATATCCTTGTATCCTAGATACTATACTTTGGTATATCCCTGTATCATTGATACTATACCTTAGTATATACCTAGCTGTAACTGTATCAAACATCCCCCCTTATCCCTGTATCCTAGATACTATACCTTAGTTTATCCCTAGCTGTATCTGTATCAAACGATCCCAACTATATCCCATTATTCTATACCTCAGAATATCCAAAGCTGTATCTGTATTATTAAACAACCTGTATCCCTCTATCCTAATTACAATATCTTAGGATATCTATATATGAATCTGTATCAAACAAACCCTCCCCCTGTATCCTTTTATTCAGTATTTTAGGATATCTCTTGCTGGATACAAGACCATAAAATATCCATACCTGTATAGTGTTTATGTATCAAACAATTCCTCCAAACAATACCTCCTGATCCCTGTATCCTGGATAAAATACCTTAGAATATCTATAGCTGTATCTGTATCAAACAATCCCTCCTGTATCCCTGTATCCAGTATCCTTGTTGAAAACTCTGGAGGAAACCCAATCAAACTATCTAGAAACGACAAATAGTTTTGTTAAAGATATCAATAAGATATATAATTTAACCTTCTGAAAGAAATAATTCTATTTCAAATCATGGCGACTCTTTCAGACTTTTTTTGAACAAACATACACGTAAAAGATTAAATCTCTATATGGTGAAATAAAATATTTACAAATATAAAAACTAAAATAAAAGTAAAATTTGTTCATCCATTAAATTGTAAGTTTTGAATTTAAATATCATTATTTTCCAGCTTAATTCTTACCTATATAATTCATATGTTTACCAACGAAAGTAAAGCATTGATCAAAAAGCGAAACAGGATTAAAAAACATTTTTCTGAAATTTCTGATATTTCTCTTTGTTATTTATTCTAAGTTTCAGTTACATTATTAGGCTTCGTTACATAACATACCAACAATATCGTATTATATAAATCAACATTACAATAATATCAATATAAAATACATCTCCTAGGTTGACAAAATCTACATGGACAATAATAAAATTAATAAAATCAAGTTACTCCTTGTGGAATGGTATAAGCTTTTATAACTAAAATTCAATATGAACTAAAAATGCAAATAATCAAACAAAGTTCATTTAAATCGTCATTGAATCCAAATACAGGTAAAATAATATGTAAATATCATAAAAAAGTATTTTTGAAATGGTTATTTTTTTTTTGGGGGGGGGGAGGGGATGACAAAAATATACCCGTTAAAAATATTACAGAATTTTGAGAGAAATCGATGAATCCCCATAAATAGGATTGTACTTGCTATATAAGTCTAACAAAGCTTCCTTATACTTGGCGTGAAGTACTTCTATATCTTCTCTGCTAGGATTAGGAACTTGTTTAACCTGTAAAATGTAGAGATGGGCTCATTTCGTTCGTTTATTGTTCGTGAACGACCCATTTCGAGTTTTTTGCAATCGTTCTAAAAAATTATTTCGCTCGTTCTCAAAATTATCGTTCATTTTCCATCTGTTTCGTTCGTTTCCTAAATGAACGAACGTTTAGTAAAATCGCTTGTTTAGTGAAACAATGATCTCTTTTTTCAATAGGTTTCTTTTCTAAAAAATTTGTTTGTTCAGTAAAAAGACATAGTTTTATAAAATTTTGTTCGAGAAAATCGTTCGTTCAGAAAAACCGATCGTTTTTACAAGCTTTTTTGGAAAATTCGTTTGTTTTGTAAACGACCGAGATAATTTTTACGGTTTTTTTCCATTTTTTTTTTTAAATATCGTTTTTTATTTCTCTGAACGATCCATGAGATGTTCGTCTGTTGTAATTTTTTTTCTAAACGACATCATAGTTGACGAAAAATATCGTTCGTTAAAAAAACGATGCCTATCTCTACCTGTATAGGTTCTCCGACAACAATATTAACAGGTTTCCTGTGCGGGATCAGACCAAAGCTATACTGAAACAGTCCTCGTCCCATGAACAAGACCGGAGCAAACCCAACCATGTTTTTAAACTTCTCCTGAAGGGTATATATCCAGGTCCCTGGCTGAGTACTACGGATATTATAAATGTAAGCCTCGCCGAATGAAAATGTTGGGACAAGTTGGGCTCCATGTTGCAGAGCAATCTTGATAAATCCTTTCCTATAAAATATATATTTTTCAAAAAAATCCTCCTTAATTCTCAAAAAGATTCTACATTCATTGAGTATTTTGAAAGATCATTCCTTTAGTTTAATTTTATGAACGTTATTCTTCAAAATTTATAAAAAAAAAGCGTTTTTAAAAGTTTTAGTTTCATGAACTCTCGAAGTAATCCTCAACATTCAGAGCGGAATGTACTATTCACAACGGTACACGAAGAAAAATATGTTCAAGAATGAATAAAAAATCCATGATTCCTCTTTAGAAGATTGTTTCTTTTAGATTTTGATTCACTATGAGGTGACTTGACGATTTATTGCTGCGAAAACAATTGTTAACACTCTTCAAGCTAAAAGAACGACGATATCTTCAATATTATTAATCAGATAAATGTTTAAATCGTACTGGTGTAAATCTTAAAAAAGGGGAGTCCCTTTAAATTACATGTATTTTAAAAATACTTTTTAAAGAGGAGAAAAATACTATTTGATGCTGGAGGGGGGGGTATAATTTATTTGAAAATATATTTTCCTACTTTCCTTTTATTAAGAACCAATGAGACTTGAGTCTGGGATGCAAACATGCTCTCCTCTGCTCCTCCAACCACTATCACAGCAATCACGCCTCCAGGCTCTTTCATCAAATAGGAAATAGACTCTTTGCTCGCAGATACTCCACCTAGGCTTAGAATCCACTCTCTAGTCAGAGGAAACCAGAAATTTAGGCTCAAGGTGGTTCCATGGATCTAGGGAGGATTAGGTCACGAGGTTGAAATTCAGGGAGGGAGATGAGGCCAAGCAGCCGTAAACCCTGTAGAAAAGTCTTCGAAACTCTGCAGAATCCGTCTCCGAACCCTGTGGAAAATCTCCGAACCCTGTATGAAGCAAAAAAATGTACTAATCAGGGAGAATTTGCACGATTATTCATTTCATTTCAACATATGGCACAGTATTCATAAATTTATTGCAAACAAATGCAATTTTGATCTTATTCACAGCCCCAGTATATGTTTATTTTGTATTCCTATTTTAGAAAACAATTTTGAAATAGACCTACGCAACAACGCACAATATTTGCAGTATTTCAATGATATTTTTCATGAAAATTACATTAACCTTTTTTAATGAAGTTTAGTGCTTTTTTATTTCCTGTTGGAGACTTTTCTACAGAGTTCGGAGATTTTCCACGAGTTCATGGCCACTTGGCCTTCCTCCCTTCATTCAAGCAGATCCCGTAGAATTTTCGAAATTAACAAGGAACAAATTCCGGAAATATTATCTTTTTGAATTGACATTTTAACGTTAAAAGTCAACCCTTATCACACACATATATATAGCCATTATAACATTTAAGGTGTTCGCCTTTGGATGCACATAGAAATAAACGTAAATCAATCAATCAAGGTTTAAAATAAAGTTGTCAGCCCCCCCCCCCCCCAAGAATGCAGGGGTTGATTACGACTCTATATTTAAAAGGCATTATTTAGAAAATAACTTGATTGTTTTAAAACCAGATTCACATCTGATAATATCGATTGTCTTCAGATATTTTGAAGCCCTTTATTTTGTAAAATTCGGGACCCCTCCCTTGAAATTTGGGAATAGTTTGCCGACGTCTGCACCTTCTGTAGCAAATGCTCCAAACATCCCAGAGCAAAGGAGCCCGTGAGGGTGGGAGCCAAAAATATAGTTTTTAGTTTGATCCAGCTCAACAGTTCTAATCAGTCTGATACCAAGGGTTAATATTATTGTTGAGGTTTTTTTTTGCCACAAAAGGAGCTAATGTATAATGACTAAAGAAATAAGGAAAATTGCTGAAATCTGTGTCAAAGATGATTAGTACAAATTAGGATATTTTTGAAAACCTTCTTACTTTAAAAAGTAAAATTTAATCCTTTTATAGAATGAAAAATACTAAGAAGTGCAGTAGTAATCAGAGATAGGTGGAATAAGTTCCGCGCGTTAAAGTTACCAAAAAGTGTACGACTGAAATAAAATTTTAACAACAATGTATTTACTTCCCTTATTGGAAAGTAATTGCAGTAAAATCTCCAGAGAGACCAATTTCTGGCCCATTTCTGAACCCTTTCGGGTCTTCCGCCTCGCACTTGACACTTTCGGTCAAATATCATCCAGGTTAAATATAGTACAGGTATCCACCAATAATTGGTGTAGAGTATCAAATACATAAATATTATTGCTGTCACGGAACCAATTAAAATGGCAAGCATGAACCATAAAGCGACGGATAATGTCTGCAGACGCCGGTCAAGAGGTAACAAAAGAGGTGCAAAGTGAACACCGCAAAATTTCCAAGATTTAAACAAAACCATTTTGAATTACTACATTTATTACATAAAAACGAGCATATTTTTTCTTGAGTTTGGACGTAAAAAAAAGGTGAATCAGCTTTTAAAATGTGTAATTTTGATTTTAATAAGTAATTTAAAGAAGTTAGTTACTCTGTTTGAGCGTCATTTATGTAAAACAACAAAGTTATGTCATGTAAATCAAGATTCATAGTTTCTGAAATGGAAAATTTTTACAAACTTAAACATTTTAATGAAAATAGCACTTGAAAGGCTTCAAATATTAATTTACAGGAGTTTGTTTTCAGATTCAGGAAAATTACAACTATTTGTGCAAGTGCCGCGTTTCAATTTAGATTTTGTGCTTTCTCAACCGACCTACCAGCATATTTTAAAACTCCCTCCTGAAATACAGGGTGTCCTACAAAACATGACATTCAATACATAGTTATTTTAAGTTAAACAAATCTTTCGCTTAATTATATTTTACTTTGAAATCAATTTGAATATAACATGACTCTCATTTATTATTTGTATTGATACTTGGTATCAAACAACTTGACAAATAATGGAAAAAGGCATTCTAAACTATTCACCAACTGTCATGTATCGTGGGACACCCTGTACATTGAAATCAAAAGTTAGATTTAAAAATTTGACAGATGATTATTGTCTTAAATACGCCAGTTAAGTTGGCAAGATTCCGGCTTAGTTCAGTAAAATTCGTAGGGTCGATGCATGAATAGGTCTGTTGACGAACTAACAAATTTGTTTGTCGTCTTTGCTGAGCGCAACCACCGCGTCTCCCAATTTATTGTCCGCGGTCGGTGCGAAAACAATTCAAGTTTCAACAGTCGTTACCAAAGATAATATATATAGATATGCAGGCAGGTAGAAACCTCCTTCCTAAATTGCTTGTAGCAGACAACTAATTTTTGTCCCTCTGAGATAAAGTGCTAGGAGAGACATCTATAGCAAATTGATTACTTTCTTTATTCCTTTCTCCCCCTGCTGCCATCTGTAGGAAATACACATTTGTGTTAAATAAACATACAGTACGCGTATTGCATCCTGTATAGTTCAAGTGTTGCTATCAGCCTATCTGGACCTGTTTGACCAATAAAATTAAATTTCAAGGTAACACAACCATATACAGTACGCGTTTTGCTTATGTTATGATCAGATCAGTTGTAATTTGTCATAGACTCGATGTACTTTTATAGTCATAATTTTTATTTAAATTGCGTTAATTTACGTATGCTGTTCAGTACAACTTGCACATTTTAACTTTGTCAAGTCAAATTCCTACCTCAGTTTTATTTGCAATTGAATAACTTGTTTCATTAAGTACAATATGCAACACTTGTACATTTAAGAAAATAAACGCTTAAATCATGTCTTTTTAAGATCAAAATGTCAATCAACGTGTCTGAGTTGATCCAGGTTTCAAATACTGGATTTAAGTTCGGTAACTTGCTCCAGGATTCAAGGAGCGGGGAATTAAAGGAGAAAATCTACAACAGCCTGATTTGCATGCTTGCTAATTTTACAACGAAGACGGCAGCGCTCAAGAAGGTAATAATTTAGTACTTGGATTATATATGGTAATTAACTAGGGAACGATATTAGGATTTTGTACATTTTGTATAATTGATCATGTGGCCGCAGCGCCCGCCCCACAGCCTATCCTAGCCGCGTCGCTCGGCCCTCTAGTCTGTTCTGGCCGCAGCGCTCGTCCCCCTAGCCTTTCCTAGCCGCGGCGACCAGCCCTCTAGCCTGTTATAGCCGCAGTGCTCGGCCCCCTAGCCTTTCCTTGCCGCGGCGTTCGACCCTCTAGCCTGTCCTAGCCGCAGCGCCCGCCCCCCTAGCCTATCTTAGGCGCGGCGCTCGACCCTGTAGTAGCCTGTCCTTGCAGCAGCGCTCGGCCGTTATTCTATTCTATCCTGGCCGCAGCGCAAGGCCCAGAAAGTAACTAAACTTATTCTAATCCTAAAATAAAAATAATAAAAAATATATAATTATTTTTCTGATAAATAAGTGGTCATGTACAAAATTGAGAATATCTTAGGACGGACCCTTATATAAATGAAGATATTTTATAAATTATTTACTTAACTGCAAATTATCAAGTCTATTGTTATTTTTATTGTTTATTGTTGAATAATCCTCAGGAACCCATGTAGAGTTATAATGAGGATGTCTTTGAAGACTTGGAGCTGCTGATGATGGTTCTGATAGACTTTGTAACTGGTAATCTTGCATCAGCATCTCACGGATACTCTCTGAATTTATCATAGCTTCTCTTGAAGATATTCACTGCAGTTGACTGTTTAACTTCTTGTGGGATAGAGTTCCATTTTCTTGGAACTCTCAAGCTGAAGAAATTGTTCCTGATACTGGTTCTGGAGTTTTGTATTTCCAAATTCAAAGGGTCATTAGCCATTCTTGTCACTCTGTTGTGGTTGATGTTTCTAAACCATGTTGCAGGGTTGATTTCACAGAATCCATGAATTATTTTAAATGTTTGGATCATGTCGGCCCGCTCACATCTTTCTTCAAGTGAAAGCAACTTCAACTCAATCAGTTTCTCCATATATGTTATTCCGGTAAGTTCTGATATCATTTGAACAGATCTTTTCTGAACAAGTTCTAGACAATTTGAGTCAGCCTCTGTCCAAGGTGACCAAGCTACTGTACATAATCCTAGGTTGGGTCGCACATAGGTTTTGTACAGATTTACAAAAACATAACGATCTCTGTAATGAAAAGCACGGGAGATGGCACCTAGGATGATATTCAGGGTTAGGTTAGCTTAAAACACTTTCTGGGCTGAGTGTTTTGAAATTGAGCATTTGATCTATTCCCATTTTACTATATAGAATATGTACATTTCAAATTGCTACGCGCACGCACATATGTATGCCTGGATCCTAAGTAAAGCTTTAGTAAGGCCTAAACCAACCATGGACGCTGATGTAAACTTACTTTCATTTCTTTCTTAATAGATGACATTCGTGTAAGTAATTATATGAAATCATTATAAAAATTGTTCTTATCAATGTTATATTGTTGCTATATTACTTCAATCTATTTCAGTTAAACATCCAAACTCTCTTCTAACAAGTAACACCAAATGAATAAAGAATTAAAAAAAAAACACAGTTTATATAGTGAGAGTAGTTTGAAACCGGTCATTCTAAAGAAATCAATACACTGAGCGCTGCGGCTAGAATAGGCTAGGGGGCCGAGTGGCGCGGCTAGGACAGGCTAGGGGCCGGTCGCTGCGGCCACATGGTCAATTATATCTATGTCTTGTAAATAAGATCCATAAACAAAAATGATAAGGGGGGTCCAAAAATCGTATATTAGGAAATTACTGGCCGAGCTCTGCGACTAGAAGCTAGGGAGCCTAGCGCTGCGGCTAGGCCATGCTAGGGGGCCGGGCGCTGCTTCCACATGACCAAGTTTTGCCATGTGTGTCTTTTTTAAAAAGAAAATCGTATACTAGGAAATTACACTAGTTGTAATACTTAAATAAGAACCTTTCTACAATAAAAAGATAGGAATTTTTCAAATGGACATATTTAAAACAGAAAACAGTCCAAACTATTGGTAGTTAATAAGAGAACGCTTTCTGGACCCCTTTCCATTTTTTTTTTTAAATAT